AAGATCAACAAATGGTAAAGGAGCTGGCCGTTTGTAGTGTTCTTAATGCTCCAGGAGATACAAGTGAACAACTGAATATGGTGGTTAAGGGACGTGGTACAAGGATTGATTTGAGGCCTTCCTTACCACGACAATCAAAGACGGAGCACAAAACAATAATGAGCCGACCTACTCAATCGAATGGGATTCTCCCAAGAGATCAGAGTAAGAAGTCTCGCCCCAAACCTACTTAGATGTCGTGCTTCTTTTGGAATGTCCGCGGTTTAAACAAATCTTCTAAACATTCCGTGATAAAGAAGTGGGTGGGAGAGCATAAGTTTGAGTTTGGTTGTCTACTTGAAACTAGAGTTTGTGAAAGTAAAGCTATGTGGTTGGGAGACCAACTATTTAGAGATTGGTCTATTTTGACGAATTATGAGTTTAATACTCGGGGTCGCATTTGGGTGGTGTGGAGAGATTCAACTCGTCTCACACCTTTCTTTAAAAGCGACCAACTAATAACTTGTTCAGTTCAGTTGGCAGGTCATGATGATGAGTTCTTCTGTTCATTCGTTTATGCTTCCAACTGTCCGATGGAACGCAAAGAACTGTGGAGAGACTTGCGGGATCACTATGATTCTCCTATTATTCGTAACAAAGCATGGATAGTTTTTGGTGATTTTAATGTCACTCTTGACATGGCTGAGCATTCACGGGTTGATGTCACTCCAGAGATAACATCAGCCATGAGAGATTTTCAGGAGGTTGTTCAGGATTGCTTTATATCTGATATGAGTTCTCATGGACCGCTTTTCACTTGGTGTAATAAGAGGGAAGATGATCTTATTCTGAAAAAACTAGACCGGGTTATGGTGAATGATAATTGGTTACAAAGGTTCCCTCAAGCCTATAATGTTTTTGATGCGGGTGGCTGTTCGGATCATTTGCGTTATCGTATTATGCTCTCTAAAGAAGGGGAGAATGTGGTCAAACAGCGAAAGCCGTTTAAATTTGTTAATGCTCTGGTCGAAATGGAGGAATTCAAGCCCCTAGTTGAGAAGTATTGGCAGGGAACGGAGGCTCTTTTCCTATCAACCTCTACTTTATTTCGCTTCTCAAAGAAATGTAAAGGCTTGAAGTCTTTATTGCGGCAGCTGGCAAAGGAGAGGTTAGGGCATTTGGTAAAAAGAACAAAGGAAGCCTTGGATAATCTTTGTAAAAAGCAGGAAGCAAACTTGGCAAATCCTACCGTTGCTTCGATGGCGGCAGAAAATGAGGCATATCACAGATGGGATTTTGTGGCGGGGCTAGAGGAAAAATTCCTAAAACAGACTTCAAAGCTCCACTGGCTTCATGTGGGGGATCAAAACAACAAAATTTTCCATAGAGCTGCGGCTGTTCGGAAAGCCAAGAATACTATTAAGGAACTTAAGTGTCTTGATGGTAGAGTAGTTGAGGAGGCTGAAGATGTTAAAATTGAGGCGGAGAGGCATTTCCGAGAATTCTTGCAATTCATTCCTTCGGATTTTGTAGGCATTACGGTGGATAAGCTCCAGGAGTTGTTACCCTTCCGATGTTCCGAAAGGGATCATCTCATGCTTACTCAAATAGTAACGGGGGAGGAAATTAAGAGGGTATTATTTTCAATGCCGCTTAACAAATCTCCAGGCCCGGATGGTTATACTTCTGAATTTTATAAGGCCTCGTGGGAGATCATTGGAGGTGAGTTCATCATTGCAATTCAATCCTTCTTTGCCAAAGGTTTCTTGCCCAAGGGAACAAACTCTACTATCCTAGCACTTATTCCTAAGAAGCAAGGAGCTAGTGAAATGAAGGACTACCGGCCTATATCTTGTTGTAATGTTCTCTACAAGGTCATCTCCAAGATAATCGCAAACCGGCTAAAGAGATTACTTCCTAAATTTATTTCTGGGAATCAATCAGCTTTTGTTCAAGATCGCCTCTTAATTGAGAATGTTCTTCTTGCAACGGAGATAGTCAAGGATTATCATAAAGACACTATCTCTAGTCGGTGTGCTATAAAGATTGATATTTCTAAAGCTTTCGATTCAATTCAATGGAGTTTTCTCACAAAGGTTTTAACTGCTCTGAATTTCCCTCCTACTTTTATCCATTGGATCACTTTGTGTGTTACAACGGCTTCCTTCTCCGTTCAAGTTAATGGTGATTTAGCGGGTTATTTCAGAAGCTCAAGAGGTTTACGGCAAGGATGCTCTTTATCTCCTTATCTGTTCGTCATGTGTATGGATGTTCTCTCCAAAATGCTTGATACGGCTGCGGGTGCTCGTTGTTTTGGTTACCACCCTCGTTGTCAATCTCTCGGTCTAACTCACCTCAGTTTTGCCGATGATCTTATGGTTCTTTCGGATGGCAAGATGCGTTCTATGGAAGGCATAGTTGAGGTTTTCAACCAGTTTGCAAGCTACTCAGGGTTGAAAATAAGTATGGAAAAATCGACCATATACCTTGCAGGAGTTTCTCCCCCAGTTCGTCTTCAAGTCGCAAATAGATTCACCTTTGAGGTCGGAAAGCTCCCTGTCCGCTATCTTGGTCTCCCTTTGGTTACTAAGCAACTCTCTCATGCTGATTGTGCTCCTCTTCTCGAACAACTGAAGCAGCGTATAGGCTCTTGGACAGTACGTCACTTATCTTTTGCAGGCCGTTTAAACTTGATTAGCTCTGTGCTTCATAGCACGTGTAACTTTTGGCTTTCAGCTTTTAGGCTACCCCGTGCTTGTCTAAAAGAGGTTGACCAGATTTGTTCTCGTTTCCTTTGGTCGGGGCCAGAAATGAGTGTAAGCAAAGCAAAAATCTCATGGGAGTCAGTTTGTAAACCAAAGCAAGAAGGTGGTCTCGGTTTTAGATCTTTAACCGAAGCAAATAATGTGTGTATGCTGAAGCTCATATGGCGTCTTGTCTCCCATAGTAACTCTCTTTGGGTTAAATGGATAGAAACGTATATACTTAAGCATGCTTCTTTCTGGTCTCTTGCTGCTAATTCAGTTTCAGGTTCATGGATTTGGAAGAAATTGCTAAAGTACAGGGACTTAGCAAAGCCTCTTACCAAGATTGATGTGGGTAACGGAATGGGAACTTTTTTTTGGTACGATGACTGGTCCGATTTGGGCAGATTAGTCGACATGGTCGATGCTAGAGCAATTATCGATATGGGTATTGGTTGGGGAAGAAGCTTAGCCTCCGTTTGGACAAATCGCCGTAGAAGAAGACACCGATTAGCCCATCTAAACTCTATCGAAGACATGGTGGTCTCGAAGAGACAAAGTCGATCTCCTCGGGCGGATGTTGTACTGTGGAAGGCAGCAAACGACACTTTTAAATCACAGTTCTCTACAAAGGATACTTGGAATCATATTTGAACTGCTTCAAATCAAGTGGCTTGGTTTAAGGGGGTGTGGTTTGCTCAAGCAACGCCAAAGTTCTCTTTTTGTGTTTGGTTAGCAGCTCATGATCGGCTGTCTACCGGGGACCATATGCTTCATTGGGATCGAGGTTTCTCTGGGCTGTGTGGCTTCTGCAAGAAGTGTGTAGAGACACGAGACCATCTCTTTTTTGCCTGCGATTACACTTCAGAAATCTGGGCCGCCACAGCTAAGGGTCTTCTACTTTCAAACCACACGACGATTTGGCCAGATTTGATTCATCTTGTCTCTTCGCCTCAACATGATCGAATCTCTTCTTTCCTTCTAAGGTATGCTTTCCAAACTGCAATCTATGCAATTTGGCGAGAGCGGAATGGACGATGTCATGGAGGACCATCAACACCAGCTTCTCAGATCACTATTTGGATTGACAAGCAAGTTAGGGATAAATTATCTTCTATTCGACGAGCAGGAGATAGACGATACAACGACGGTTTACAAGCTTGGTTCCGGACCAGAAGCTGATTTTTTTTCTGTTTTTGATTAAATTATTTTTATTCAAAAAATTTTTTTTTATTCGGAAAACGTTGCACTAGTTGTAAAAACGCTTAATTTTTCTTTTGAATATAATTTAACATTAAATTCAAAAAAAAAAAAAATATATACACTTCAAATATTTGGACTTGCCATGAACATATTTAGCCTAACAAAATTAAACAGATAGTTATTTTCGGAATGGATATAAATATAGGATGAAGGTTTTTAATTTTTACGACGGTTCAACCAAAATAAATACCCCGTCATTTTCAAAGCCGACATCTACACAAAAACACGTAATCCTATAACTACTTAAACTTAGAAATGTGAAATTTAAACCCAAAATACAAAATTGAAAGCTTAACCCTAAATCCCGAATCGTAAATACGATACCCTAAATACGACTATCCATTATATATCGTGCAATATTGTGTCATCAATGGAAGGTTTAGCACCAAAAAAAAATCATCAGTAAAATTTGTTACAATCGAGATAATTTATTAGATAGATTAAACCCACAAAGGTAATATACATTACATACCCCAAACATTTGGATCGGCCAATGAACACGTTTAACCTCAAAATTAAATATTTATAATAGGATGTATAAAAGAGATGGAGTTTTTAATCTTGCGACAGTTCAACCAAAATAACGTGATACTCACTTTCAAAGTTGAATCGAGTGATTTAAACTTATAGCAAGATAACTCAAAAAAAAAAAAAAAATTACCCAAAAGAAGATTAGACATGTAGGTTGTGTCATTTGTTAATTATTTCAAATTTCAGATGTTTAATTTCACTAAAACTAACTTAAGACTCATTTTATATTATATAGTTGACCACAACGATATGTTTTCTATATATTGGAAATATAGTTATTATTTTCCATGAACAAAAATGGGAACGCATTTAAAAAAAAAAAAATCTAAAATGGAAATGCATATATTGCTGTAAACCTTTTTTTTTTGTTTTTTGTTACAACAACAGCAAAATAACAAAATAAAATAAAAACAAACCCCCCTCCCAAAAGAAGAAGAAGAAGATAAAACAAACACATGACAAAACAAAGTCTTCAGTCTTGTCCTTTGCTTAAATAATCTACCAACTTTTTAAGGGTTTTGTAACCAAAAGAAGCTAAAAGTTTCTCATAATCTTTAAGGGAAACACACAAAAAAGTGCATTTCATATCACTTGGAGGAAAAGAGCTTCTTGAAGAACGGAAGTATCTTGCTCATCCCCTTTTTCTTCTTCTCCTCTTTAGGTTTCTTCAGCAAGCGGTAGCCATTTTTCATCAAACCAGTCGCCTTCAAATTGTCCATTGCATCGTCGTAAGATTCCTCTTGTGATACTGTTGTTGTATCATTACTAGTCCCAGCTGAGCATAAGTCCTTTAGCAATTTTTCCAATACGACAGTGATCTCTTTGAATTCAAGACGTGCCTCTGGGTCCTTTGCCCAGCAAGATTCCAAGATTGGAACAAACTCATTTGGAATATTGTCAAGACTTGGTCTTTTGCCCTAGAAGAAAAGAAGAAGATCCCACATTTCAAACTTCTCTCTAATTTTTAGAAAATATTTTTGATTTGTAGTATATAATAATTACCTTTTCCACAAAATAGGGAATAGAAATGATCTTTATCTCTCTGAATGGTATTTGATTAGTGAGCAATGACCATAAAATTAGCGCAAAGCTGTAGACATCAACTTTGTGGTCATAGTGCTTCTTCTCTCCTTTTTTGAGTGGCTCAGTGCTACATACCTACGGTGATATACAAAAACATAAAATTATGAATTTGATATATGTTTCAGGTAGAAGATTTAGTCCCGAAAGAGCTATTTCATTACCTCAGGAGCCATCCATCTGTAATTTCCAGCCTCACAAGTCATGCCATCTTTAGTCTTTTCTGTTGCAAGTCCAAAACCAGTCAACTTCACTTGTTCCATGTTACTTGTCACCAACACATTCCCTACACAGACACATGGATATATATATAGACCAATTGGTCAATTCGTTTCATTATACGTTCTCTACAAGACATGATGTGTATAAATGAAGCTTATTTACTTGGGTTTAGATCACGGTGAATGATGCCATTTGAGTGCAAAAACTCCATGGCTCGAGAAATATCCAAAGCAAAGCTCAGTGCCTTCTTTCGATTAGGAGGATTCGGACGAGAGTTCCACATGTACTTCTGAAGGGTGCCGCCTTCAATGAGTTCGGTAACTATCATCAGTTGTGGCTCTATGCTAGCTCCAAAGAACTGTTCATTTACAAAGAACCATGATTAATTGCTCATTATTATAAACTTATATGATTGATATAAAAAACACCAAAATAAATAAATATATTTTTTCTCGTTTTGTACCTTCACAATGTTTTTGTGGTTCAAAGAGGATAGTAACATAACCTCCTTTTGAAACTGTTGTTTGTGTTGTATGCCCAAAGCAGATGTTCGACTTGGCTCCACTATCTTCACTGCCACAGGACATGGGTATCTGCTTCCTCTGAACCTACAAGTCCATTATATGATAATAGTGATTAGCAAAAAAAAAAAAGCCTTCTTTTACCCAAAAAACAAAAAAAGCCTTCATTTTTATGCGGTTTGGTCAAGAATGATTCCCCTAATGGTTTCCATGCAACATCAG